TTTTTTTTCCGGCTACCTACCGGTAGCTGGAGGCTGGGCAAGGCTCGGGTTACCGGTAGGCTGAGCCACGGGCCTTCAGATCCACTAGATACTGGTGGTTTAAACCACCAGTACTTGGCCCAGCTATCGGCTGCGGAAAAGAAAAGAGAAGAAATGTTTCTAGTCGGATGAATTTGGGTGCTCCTGTAGTAGCCGAGCATTTCCTAAAATCCTGGCGCGTTAACGGGCATGATTCTAGGAAGTAGGGCCTCGTTAGACCCTCCTTGGAAAATCCTCAGGAATTAGGATGAAGGCCTTCAAAAATTTTCTGGTTTTCGGCGGCGGCGTTACACCACGTCCTAATTCAATGGGTTTCAAGGAAAACCCTTGGAGGTCTCCAGCGGCCAATTTCATACGCATACAAGCGGCCGCGGGCCCGGGGTGGATGTCCATCATCGTGCTGGGATGTCCGTGCGTCCTCAGGCATGGTCCAGTGACAGTGGCAGGGAGGCCTACCGAGCTGATGAAGAAAAAGGGCGCCAACATCCCCGTTCCAATTTCAAATTTTGAACCGTCCGTTGTGACACATCCGTGCGTGAGGCGTTCTGGCAGCTGGATTGGAGACTGGGGCGAAACGTCTGTGCGGAGGAGTGATGGTTGCCATGGCTTAAAAGGAGGGCATTGGAACGTTGGGGGACGTAGCATGTATGCGACTTCGCCTTCGTGTTCTGCATGCTCTTCGGACCGTCACAGCTTAGCGTGAAACATGGAAAGTGTGAGCGAGGTCCCCATCGACGTGCAGAAGGTGCAACGACGGCGCTGGCAGGCGAACGAATGGTTGGTGCTTGCGCATTGCAAGTCCTGATGATGGAACGAGAGCTCCAGAGTGGTGCAAAGACATTAACGACATTGGAGAGAAACACGGTGGTCGCAGCTGTGTCAGTCGTCGCCATGCGTTATCGCATTGAGAGAACGACAACTCACCTGAGGATAAGATTGTCCGTTCGCAGGCAGAGGCACCTGATGCAACAAGTGATGGATGCACCAGATTGTGTGTCGTTATCGGAATCCATTATGGGATTCTACTGCGCTATGGCATCGGGTGTGATCCCGCGGGCGACGCCGAGATTGTGGATGAAGAGAAGGATGGGATGGACATGGGAGGATCTCCGACAGGTTGACGACGCGGCAGAGGGCTACTACAAGGAGAAACTGCGGAGTGGAGTAGTCAATGGCGCCCGTCGACTGTCTGCTGGAGGTTTCCCCCTCTGTCCATCGTTGTCTTCCTCACCATTCGTCGTTTCTGTCTACTTCCAGGACCCCGCACAACGACGCACATATGGAACAACACGGCAAGGAGCAGGAGAAGAGTGGCCAGCAGCACGAGTGGGAACCGTTAGAGGACGTCTGCCATGAATCGCAGCATGTGAGGCGTGTACCAAACAAAGCTTGCATCAATGCGCCCGACAATAGCCGACAAAACACGCTAGGCAAATGCCTGCAATCGACCAACAGTGCTTCAACATCGCTTGTGGACAAATAAAAAAATTCGACCATTGGACGCCACGGTCGGCGACGCGCGCATGGAAAACCCTACTTCGTGAAGTGCCTTGCAGCTGAAGAACCACCCCCACGCATTTCCACGCCAATGGTAACGGTGGAAGGCCGTTGGGGGCCTGTCGGGCACTGGAGGCCGGCGATGTCCGCCCAATGGACCACAGACGACCTGTGCACCAACATCGATTCCAAATTTTCCGGTCGGCGCTCGCTCCAGAACACTCCGTCAATCGCTGCTCCTTGAACCCAAGGGACCTCACGAGGACCCCTTGAATCCAAGGACGTTTTGGCTAGGGACCCTGAGGAATCCAAGGAAATCTCTTGGGAGCGTTTGCACATTCATTCAAGGAATTTGGTGAATTAGGACGAACTGTAACGACGCCAATTTCCTAAAAATCGGATTTCCAAGGAGGGTCTAACAAGGCCCATATTGGTAGTACTTGGCCCAGCTATCGGCCACGGACAAAAAAGGAGTAGAAACGTTTCTAGTCGGATGAATTTGGGCACTCCTGTAGTAGCCCGTACGTTTCTTAAAATCATGGCGCATTAAAGGGCACGACTCTAGGAAGTACTGGTAGTACTTGTCCCAGCTATCGGCTGCGGAAAAAAAAAGAGTAGAAACGTTTCTAGTCGGATGAATTTGGGCGCTCCTGTAGTAGTCGGTATGTTTCCTAAAATTGTGGCGCGTTAAGACTCTAGGAAGTACTGGTGAGAGGAGGAGGGGAACAGAGATCTCCCTCGGGTAATACGTGTAAAATTCTGACTGTGCGATCACGAGTACTGCACAGCAGGATTTGAGTCACTCAACTGCCACACAAACTCTTTTCTATCCTATCCTGTTGCTAGTGGGACCATGCTCCTCATACCCGCAGTCTACTTGCCATGTTTGCACTGCGCGTGTACTTGTGATCTGCTGTCTGAGTTTTTGTTTGCCTGTTTCTTCCTCTTTTTTTTTTTTTTTTTTTTTTTTTTGTTGTTGTTGTTTTAACCCCCCAGTATATAGGCCGCGGGCATGTAACGTGCTGCATTTGGGGGGGGGTGTTCACGTGAACTGCCAGTCGGTGAGAATTGTGTAGAAAAGCAAGAACCGAAAAAAAAAAAAAACTACTTTTCTAGGTTGGGCTCTTGGTGGAATGCTTCTAACTAGTATTTCAGTTAGATTCTGGATGTCGTTTTTTTGGTCCCATTTTTCTCAGATTCCCCTGCCAGAGGCAGGGCATATCCTGTGGTCTACTAAACAGCCCTCTTTGAGGGCATACTCACACTTGCACACAGACAAATGAATCTAACTAATTTCATTGCCAAATTTGTGTTTCTTTTTTTTTTCTTTCTTCTTTGAGATTCCTTTCTTGGTTTTCTTTTTCCTTTTATTACTTTTGGATTCTGACAAAAACGCCACGGGGCTGATACACCCAAACTGCGACGTGCTCACACTAGCACTCGGGAGAACGCATCCCATCCAACTGCATTCACGTCCCCAGCGTTATTTATTTATTTATTTTTTTGCTGTTTTTGTTTTCCAAATGGTCCCCCCAGCCTCGGCCCGTCCAGCTACTGGTACTGCCAGGCTTGGCAGGCTCAACATACCGGTCGCTGGAGGCTCGGACTTGATAGGTGGGCCAAGTCCTGGTGGTTTAAAGAAAAAAGTGGACCCCATGTATTCTTAGGCCTGGACCCCACAGGAAAAGTGTTGGAAAAGTGACGATTTTCGGGTTTCCGTGGAAGGGTGTCTGGAAGAGTTTGCCTGCAGAACGACGGGACTCCACCAGAGAAGCTGGAAAACCAGTTTCCACGAGCCTGGAAAGGATGGAAACTGGAGATGGACCGGATGGCGGTCCCTGATGTCCGTTCGAAGGGGTTTTGTTCCTGTTTCACCCTGGCCATTGAACCAGGGATCGGCTCGGTCCGGACTATGGATGGACCAGTGGGTCAGCGACGAGTTTCCAACGAAGGACATGCCGCCCCCCCTACTCTCTGGCCAGGGCACAAAATTCCGGCGGAAACTCCTCCCGTCACACTTTTCCGACGGGAAACCAATGGGAAAACACAAAATCTTGGATTTCCAGCTACCGTTTTCCAGGGGGTGGGGTCCCGGAAAACCTCCCCACCCTCCTAAAATAAACTTAAAGTTTCCGGAGGGCTTGATTTGTCTAGTGGAGTCCAAGAAAAGTTTTTCCACACCGCTTTTTCCACAATTTCCCCCTGTGGGGTTCAGGCCTTATTACCTGGCACCTCTACAAAAAGAAAAGAAAAGAAAAGAAGTTGTGGCAGTCAGGTACATGCACTAAAACAAAAGAAGAAGAAGGAGAAAAAACGTGTTTACGCCTGACCCGGACCGGACATAGCAGGACGTCCAGCCGGACTGACGTCCAGCAAAATCCGGACAAAAAACAAAAAAAAAAGGTTACAGAAGGTTTACACAACTTTACAGACAGGGTGAAATAAGCGATACCTACCTCAAGGCAGT